ATTTAAGTATTTAATAAAGGCGACGGTATTTCAAATAAATATTTTAAAACGAAATTCAATTTGTTTCAGTTAAGAGCCGAAAAAATGGTTTAAATTAAAGTGTTATTAAGTGAAAAACCACAAACAAATTTTTGTTATCGAAAATTCATTTGTGTATCACAAAACTTGTCATAAGATCCCACATTACTTTAAAACTCAAAGGATAACGCCTCCAATACACAGATGTTTTCGTCATCAGTGCAAAAATGTTGTTTATTTCCTGGTAGAGATAAAGCATCCACGCTCTCAACTAATACACAACATATCAAACATATATTAAGAACAGCGTCCAAATGAAAACCACACATCCGCACACATGTGCTACACCCTTGCATTCCCCTCGTACACCTACGGATGGAGTGCCAACTAAATTTGTATCCTTCCATCCAGTGAGCTTCAACTCTCCCACAAAGTGGAATCTCTCTGCTTCGTTTTTTTCCTTCCGCTCGTCGCTTAATGTGTGAAAAGTGTGAAAAGTGTTTAGCTTAGAAAGTTTAGAAAATGCCATTGACGAGAGCTCCGCATATGACGTGCAGGATATTTATGTGCAACCGATTTGTGCTCGCTAAAGTGGGTGGAGTATTGTGTGCAGTGCAAATTGTGTGTACTCGTTCGTTCTTGCACTTATGAATGTATGTATGTGTAGTTATGTGAAATATGTGTAGACATATGTGTGTTTTCTGTACGCATAAATGTGTTGCACAATAATTAACGACTTTTCCCTGATAAAATTGTTTTGCCGTCGCTATTTAGAAGAAAATTTGCCGACGGAGAACAAAAATTGCAAAAATATGCAAAACAAATAAAAGCAAAATCTAATAAAGTCAAATGAGTTAAACAGAAACAGAATTATATAATTATTTCAAAAAAAAAAATTTAATAAAAAATTATTATATTAAATCAAATGAAAAAGAAAAAAGGTAAAATATTAAGAAAAAAATTAAAATCGATACATTAATTTAAAACCTAATTATCCAAACTAAAATAAAAAAAAAAATTAAATAAAAAAATACAAATAATAAAAAGAAATTTAAAAAAAAGTTTAATAATATAAAATAAATTGAAAAACATTAAATGAAATGAAATAAAATAAAATAAAATAAAATAAAATAAAATAAAATAAAATAAAATAAAATAAAATAAAATAAAATAAAATAAAATAAAATAAAATAAAATAAAATAAAATAAAATAAAATAAAATAAAATAAAATAAAATAAAATAAAATTAAATTAAATAAAATAAAGTAAAATATAATAAAATAAAATAAAATAAAATGACAAAAAAATAACAAAAAAATTGAAATAAGACCATAAAACTAATTAATTAAAATAAAATTAAAGGAAAGAAGAAAAATATATATAAAACCAAATAAAAAGAAATAAAACGAAAAAAATTAAATGGAATAAAATAAAATGATATGAAATAAAATGACATGAAATAAAACAAAATAATATTTTGAGAAATAAAATAAAATGAAGCAAATAAAATAAAATATATTGAGATAGAAGAAAAGAAAATAAAGTAAAATGAGACAAGCGAATTAAAAAAATTGAAATAAAATGAAATAATACCAAATGAAATAATTTGAAATAAAGGAAAATAGAATAAAATAAATGAAATATGTTAAATTGAAATTAAACAAAATATAATATAATTAAACAAAAATAAATTAAGACAAAAGTCAATATTAAAGAAAAAAATTTTAAATGGAATAAAAATACAAAGCAATATTAAAATAGAATGAAAGAAGCATAAATAAAAAAGAATATATGTAAATATAATTGGCGTTTTGTAAACACTAAAGCGATTTTTAGTTTTGCCTCTTGATGTTTTTCCAACAAATGGACAGTTTACATTAAGCCCTCTCCGAACGGCTGATGTTTTTTTTATGAGATGATTTTATTTTATGTAAGAAATATACAAGAAGGAGTTGACATTCCCTGCCGAGGGGCGAAGTTTGGAATTTGGAAGTTTCAACCCGAGCCTTCTGAATGGTAGTATGCAATGCTAACCATTTGGCTGCCGCGGCCGCGGTAAAAAAGTATGAAATAAAATAAAATATACTTACAGCATAAAATAAAGAGAAATAAAAAGATGTATAGTAAAATAAATTTGTTGGAAATTAAAATAAAATAAAAAAATAAAATAAAATAAAATTAAACAGAATAAAAAAAAAACCATAATGAAATAGAAGAAAAATAGGAGAAATAAAAACAGTAATACTAAAAAAATTTAAAATTAAAATATATGTAAAAGAAATAATATAATGAAGAATAAAATGAAACAAAATAAAAAAAATGGAAACGAAATAAAGTAAAACAAAAAATTATATAATTAATGAAAAAAGTCAACTGAAGAGTAAAAAAAAATACTTTTAAAAAGGTTTATAGTTGTTCAAATCCTTAATTATGTGATCGGAATCTTTAATCCATTTGGTTTAAGATTCTAATAGTCCAACAGTAGCCGTTCATTATGCCTTAATTCGGAAATTAATAGTAACGTCTTTCGATGTTGACTAGATCCTGAAGTAGCCACTCTCCTTTTTCATTGCGTGTATCGTGTCTCATTAGCATTAGAAACCGCAAAATTCAGTTTTTCCAGATTGCATTGCAATCAAGTGGTTTATTATCAGTTAAAACTAGCAATTAAATTAAATTTAATGTTCAAACCTCCAGATAGTCAAATATTGATCTTCCACATTGTTCCGTTAGTACTGCATCAGCAATCGAAATGAATGGTTTTTTTTTCATTTTGGTGAAGAGATGCTTTCAAACTGTACTGGAGCCTTCACGAAGGATCTCGGTCACACGGTGTATGCATTATTAAATAAATCATTAATATCATCAGAGAATGAGCTGTAATTGCCATAGCTAGTCGAAGGGCTGCTGAGAAGAGGAAACAGACTGCATACGTCGCTGCAATATGGATAGATACCGTGAGTTAAAGAGGAAAACAAGACCCATTTGCAGCTGACAATAGAAAGAGGTCGAAATATGTGGACATGAAAAGCTGGAGAATCTGCGGCAACTAACAGAAGGTTTAAAAACAGGAGCATACATACGTAGGAATCGATGTGGGTGTCTGGGGAACGATGACCGGAGCATACTCGTATTTTGTGTATGGAGTGTTTGTATGGAGGGAAAAATTCTGAATGACAGTGAAAAAGCTTACTGAGGTGGTGACCACAAAACCCCAGTCGATGATGATGGAATAGATGTTCCATTATCTGGCTATGATGAGGTTCGAATAGCGATCGTTCGCCTAATATACAAAACTGTTCAAACATAGCGGTGAAGAGCTGACGATTGGAGTTTAAGTGTCCTCTGCCCAATCCTTAAAAAGGGGACCGCACTGTCTGCGCCAATTAACGTGGGATAAGTCTCCTTAATATGCCTATAAGGTCATGTCGAGCGTATTGTGTGAAAGGCTGAAGCCAGCCGTCAACAAGCTGATGGGACCTTATCGGTGTGGCTTCAGACTTGCTTAGTTAATCATTGCCCAGATGGTCACCCTACGCCAAATCTTAGAATGGACTAGTGAAAAGAGGATCGACACCCACCACCTCTTCGTCGATTTTAAAGCGGCCTTCGACAGGACGAATAGGTGCTGCCTTTACGCCACTATATCTGAATTTGGTTTCCCTTCAGTGCAGTCAGAATTGGGTAGGACCTCTGCCAGACGTTCGATATCAACCGAGGTTTCTGGCCAGGTGACTCTTTATCGTGTGATTCCATCAATTTGATGCATTGATGTGACGCATTTATGTCTGGTAGAGTAGGAGGACTATACCATACTACTATACGGAGCAGAGGCGTAGACAGTGTCAACATCCGCAGAAGCGGCCCTGACAACCTTTGAGAGAAAAGTTTTGCCAACGATTTATGGTACTTTCCGCATTGGCAACGGTGGATCCGTAAACGATGGAACGATGTATTGTATTTGACATATATATGTACATATATGACAAGATTCACATAGTAAAGTGAATGAAACGACAGCTGGTACAATGGCTAGGTCATGTCGTGCGAATGTAGGAACTCCAACTTTTCGATGCAGAGCCCGCCGGTGGAATTAGAGAAGGAGGAAGACCTGCACTCCGTTAGAAGGATTGGATAGAATGGGACCTGGTTTCACTTGGTATTGCGAACTGGCGCCAAAAAGTGAAGTAAAGAAACTAATGGGGTGCTATTGTTGAGTCGGTTATAATCGCGTAAGCGAAGCCCACGACAATGAGGAGATTGTTGGAGAGAATTATACTATTGACCAGCAAACTGAATGCGGGCATAAATAAAAGTTATTCTAACTACAAGGCACTTGGTAGTAATAACTTCGATTTTGCCAGCAAATAATGTGTCAGTTTCGGAGATGTCTGCAAAGCGGGACCATCACCTTGGGCTTCTTAAATGATTAAAACTCGGTTAGATTTTGCCTAAGCTTTGAAGAAAAATTAACTATGTTTTTCTTTAAATTTTTGAATACTTGAAATTTTTTAATTGCTTCAGTTTCTATTTTCTCTTGGATATTCGACTTTATGATTCTTTAGTTGCGTATTAAAATATTATGAGTCAATATAAATCCCAGTCCCATACATAAGTTCCATCACTATTTATTTTTTTAATTTTTTAAAGTACTCAAGAAGGATAACGACGACACAGGATAACTTGGGGAAAATAACAGTAAACTTGAAATATGAAATGCAAATGTTAATTGCTACCCAACGCATGAAATTTGTTGGCCGAACAACAAAAGGCTGTCACTAAAATGTGAAATATAAATATAAACTTTATCTTCATTAGATGAATGGTTGGTAAAAAAGTCGACTTGCCTCTATACATTGTCCTTTTACACATACCCACATATATATATATACACACACACACATATGCAAAACAATATAATTGTGGCATTCTGTTTTTTATCAAAGAAAATCTAGAAAAAATGTCACAATAAAGATAATTTTTTGTGACAATTCGCTGAACATTGGCAAGGAATAAATACACAGATACACATACAGAAAATAATAGAAAAAAATAAAATAAAATACAATTGACGGTTAAAGGATGAGGAAGCAACTGTCTGAGATAATATTTAAAAGAATATGCAAAGATCATCGGAAGGAAGCGACGCAATGTTGGCTTGTCTTAGTAAATTAATTGAAATTTCATATAAATGCAAAAGGAAAGCAACAGAGAGGGTCGCAGAGAGAATGTCCGATGAAAGCTTACTTTGTGTGCCACCACCACTACCACCACGGCGAAGCACCACCGGCTGAGCTGATGTACTGTTATAAATGTGTATTTGTTTTTAACATATTTATGCTTTTTTTTTGTGTATTTTCTATTGTCTTTTCAGCTCAAATTTCATCTTAAGACAAATGTCCACACACACACACATACATACATGCATACATACTCACATAACTACTGCTGCGTTGGCCAGTTGAACGCATGTGTTGGCGGAGACGATGCAGGCGCTCATCGCAGCCATGGTTATGCAGTAAGCTAGCCAAGTGAAATGAAGATGAAGACGCTGCCGGCGAAAGGAAGTCCGTCGAAATTATTATAGAAATGTTGAGGCAAAGAAAGGAGCACTGGAGAGTACTGGAAATACGGCTGCATGATAGAAAAGTACGTGTAAGTAAGGAAAGAACGTAGAATTCCGGTAAAGTTACTTGTGAAAGAAATTAGCATGTTGATGCTGAGGGCAGTAGGAGTGTTGTGGAAAGAGGGTACGTAGTGGACCCATGCTTACTGGAGAAAATTAACGAAAAATACTTTGGCAACAGTTTAAATGAGTATACCCAAATGCAGCAACAACAAAAGTAATAACAACAGCATTGAGTACGGCTTGTACGGCTTCAAGCAAAAGAAGAAGACTAAGAAAAAACAACAACTATTCACCCGTCAAGCAAATGAATGGTAGACAAAGAATAATTGCAGTCGCCATGAACTTCCCGCCGAAAGAAACCAACTCCAGCGCTGTACCAGGATGCCTCATTTCCTTAGCGAAGATGTTCTTATTACAATATATGTATGTATGATATGCATGGTTTAAACGTTTATTTGTTATTGGCTTTCGAACTCATTTTGACTTTTGAATTCTCTAGCTTGCTCTGCGGAGCAATGCCGTTTTCGCGAAGTTTACTTTTCATTTGGCTTATAGAAATAACTTTTGTTTTACATGCATGTACATATGTATGTATGTTTCCAATTTAAAATACTTACGCGTATTTATCTTCTATTTAGTTTTCTTGTTTTTGAAATTTAGTGTTTTACTCGTTGCTCTCCTTATTTCTCTCTCTGTCTGCCTGTTTTTCAAGACTTCTGGCTCGCAGTGAGTCCAGTTCCTAGTTTGATACTAAATATTGAAATATATTTTTTTGAATGCATTGATGTAAAAAACGCGGATTTTAAATACACGTTATTTATCATAATTAAGGATTAGTAGCAATCTAGTAAATATATCCCACTGTTTTTGCATTAAATTCAACACTTTTTTTAAAATAATAGTTAGAACTATTCGATTTATGTCAAATATACATCGCCTTGCTTAATAATTATTTGCCGTTCTGGCGGTAATGACTTTATGCCTTTCTCATAGAAACAACTCTCCTTATCGCTTATGGTAAAATTCTTTCACAGGTTTCTTTTGAGTTCAAACCTTTACCCGGAAAATCATTTGCCATAAGCAGGAACAGATGGTAATTATTTGGTGTGTTGTCAGGACCACAAGGTTGATGCAAAGGAACTTCCCAACCCAGCTTCCGGAGCATCTGGCGAGTCACTACCGATTGGTGTTCACTGACGTAGTACTGATTAAACACAATTTCACTTTTTTTGGCGTGAGCTGGGGGCTTATGGGCGTTTGTCCTTCCGATGGTCCAATTGTTGACAGTTCTGAACGGTTCGAGCTAAGAGTTTTGCCATAGGAGAGCAGCTTCTAGTGATTGATTCCTTACCGATCCCACCAAACACATAAGAAACCACACTTTGCTGTAAAGCCTTACTTTGAGATTGGTTTGATCGGCGCACTGTCCTTGGACCACACTTATTTTTGATTGATTTTGTTGTAATTTACATCATCAGTCATCATTCACTTCAATGATTGGTCGATTTTGCGATTCGCAGATGCAAATTCGATTCGTGAAATTTTCTCTACAACTCATGCCGCACCCATTGCTTCAAGCTTTTTTGTTTGTTCAGCATTTTTCGAGTGGTTCCAAACTGTGTTTTGCGCAATGTTTAGCTCTTGGGCAATCGAAACAGCGTTTGGTCAGCTCACGGTCAGACTCAGCGAATTCCATTATATTACCGTGGAGCATATCTTACATCGAAATTACCGGAATGAAATCGACGAAACCAAAGAACCAAGACCTTATTTTTTCAATTGCCTCACTTGCGTTTTCTTCTTTAACGTAGAGAAATCTTAGAATATAGCATATTTTCTTTTTGCTGACATTTTAAGTGATTTGCGCTTCTCCCTTTATTATTTTTACTACAAAATATCATCTTTTTGACGTCATCTAACGCAATCCGATCACGCTTGCAGAACACTAAAGCCATTAATTTCAAAAATAATGGGTTACTATTTACTAATAAATAACAATAATTATTACTATTAAAAATTTTGTTGTTTTATTTTTTTTAAATTCATTAGAAAAACTATAACAATATATATAATTTAGAAAATTTTTTTTATGTCTTTTAAGAATAAAAGCAATAATAATATACTTGTATTCATTAAAAGCCAAAAAAAATTATTTTTGCATAATTTTTGCTTCAATCAAAAAACTAGGATTGGCATGAAAATAAATTAATTTCATATCCCTTTTTTTTGTATTTATCTTTTATTGAGTAATCAGACAGTTGGTATATTTTAGAGTTTATGATTTTGTTCGAACATTAATGAGCATGCGAGAAGTGAGTACTCGTGTTTGTTCAGTGTTCATTACCCCACCTTGAGAATTTCACGCATTTTCCAGCATATTGAGTATTCGTGTAGTTGGTATAATTTATTGTGGATCTGAAATCTACAACAAAGTCAGGATGATCCTTCATAGAATTTTACTGATGACAACTCTAAAGAAAAGGTCGGTGGGTCAGAGCGGAATAGCTGGCTACTTTGTAATAAAAAGAATTCACAACACTGTAATAGAATATTATCACTGCAGTTATTTGTAGTCTATACTTTTAAAAAGGTTTGGCTCGAATTACAGTTTATGGTAAATAGATTGACTCAGCTGAACCACTTATTTCGTTAATAACTTAGGATCAAATCATTTTAAGTAAATAGAAATAATATAATATATATAATTTGCGCTTTGTAACCATTTAAGCGATTTTCGGCCGAGCTTCTCCTGGAATTTGTGGTGAGGTTCCAAAAAATGTAGGGACCTACAGCTTTTATTAAGCAGCTTCCGAAGGGCTGATGTCGTTTTTACGATGAGCCTTTATTTCATGTCAAAACCCCGCTCAGAGGGGTGGACATTCCCTGCCGAGGGGCGACTGCAATTAGAAAATTTAGTTAAATTTTTTATTTAAATTAATTTTCCGTTACTGTTGGATGTTGGTGGAACCCGGGCCTTCCGAATGTCGCACGCAATGGTAACTACTACAGCGGCCGCCAAGAAATAGTAGTCGATTACATTATTGGTCTGTTGTTAGATTTGTCGTGCATGAAATACAAAACGATACTTCTCCGCTGTCGAGGAATCAAAGTCATTTAAAGGTTGTGCTTTACTGTAATCATCTCAAGTGTGCGTAGTGAGGTTTTCCACAAGCGTTGCGCTACACTGCCTTTCGATCTGCTGCATCCCATACCCCGGCATGAAAGTCATATGATTTTTGAATATTGAATTTCTCACTGAAAACCTTTGTGACATCTTCTTCATTAAGGCTGTGTTTTAGTGATTTTTTTTTTTCATTAAGGCTATGTCTGTTTGTGCAAAATCGAGGAACATTCCACAAGCAACTCAAATATAGTTATCAAATCGTGTCAAGAACCTTTGGAAAGAACCTTCCAGAGATAAGTGTGAACTACGGGATGGGTATATAAGAGCGAACCGCACACTGCTGGCATGTTCAGTTTGAATTGAAATGAAGTAAACTGTGAGAGAGATGATATAGAAGCTGAACAAACCATTTGGTGACTTTTATTCAACAATACCATAATCGAACCCGAAGGATTTGGTAATATTATTAAGAGGGATGCTTATTGGAGGAGAATGAGAGTGGGTTTGAAGTTCAATCCATGAGCTAAGAAACTCATACGCCTGGCTATCCACATAAAAGTGGATTCTTTTACTTTGAAAGCCAGCACAAGGGTGCTGAGTAATCGATCTCTCTAATCATGAGGGTTAATCAGACCGTTTCAGTGGTATTATTTTTAGCGAGGTGGTAATTTCGGTCATATTCTGAATTTTAGTTCGGGTTAGGCTTTTGCGAAAAAATAAACTGGGATTAGGGTTCCTAAGGCGAATGTGTGTAGACACAATTCTGATAACAGAAGTATGGGCTCAGTAAAGTCAGTGTGAAGATTGAGTTTGCTGCTGTTAGACATGATGAAGCAGATAGATTAAATAAGCTTTTTTGTTGTAAAAAGCTACTGGAGACAGTGGAAGACTTAATGACCTCTTTATTAACTACTAGTACTGGTTTGGTCAAAATGAGAAATGACAAAAGCCATAGGTTTTCTATTGTTAACTTTTTATTTCAATCAACTCTGAATAAACCCTCAGACTAGGTGAGTAACATGGTAGGGCATAAATCCAACAACAGCAATCGTGAGATTCAGTTGGGTCATTTTATCGGTCTCTTAGTTGACTATATTTAAGCAAACTTTTGATTATTTGTTCGAAAGGTGACACCCTGTACTAGAGACGTGCAGGTCAAATTACTGTCTTCTTTTGATGGATAATGATGATTTTGTGGAGATCGATATTTTTACATACATATATTTGGCGCTTTGTAACTGATGAAACAGTTTTTGTTCGAGCTTCTAGTTTAATTTTAGGTGTGCGTCTTGATGTTTTGCCAAAAAAGGATGGATTTTTATGAGAAGTTAATTATTTTATTTCAGAAATGCACTCGGTGGAGTTGTTCTTCTGTTCTGTTCTGTTTTGCCCAGGAGCGATCCCAATTATAAAAATTATTCTGAATGATGATCAAGCCAGGATTTCCAATGGCTGTATGCAATGCTAACCAATCGGCTATTGTGACCAAGATAGTTGCAGAAGACTAAAGGCTCGATCGACAGGCGAACTAAAGCCATTATGACGACTCATTGACAAATTTTTTTGCACTTGCTTACCACAAGATCCACTATGTATGTAAATATGTACAAATATTTTCAATACTTAAAATATTAATACTTAAATGATTCGAATTATTTAGTCTAAGCGGAGCGATTTTTGGTAACAAATGGAGAAAACCTTCAATTTACTTTTGCCAGCACCGAGGAGCCTTTTATATCATCCCAGACCAACAACAACAAACCTATTCAAGGGAAGATTATAATTAGAAAAAGGAATTAAAAATTAACCTTCTACATTTTTGGATGTTGAACTGATCGGAATTCGAACGAATGATGCCTCGAATGGTAGTAAGTACTTGAAAATGCCGCCGCTAACCCATAAATCATTTCCACCTATTTTCGGTCGAGCTTACGAGTTGCAAATAATATTTAATACATGTCGATCATAATATAACATATAAAATAAATTACTTTCGATAAAATTTTTAATTTATTAAAGCATTAAAGCAGAGCCTCAAAAAATAAAGAATGAACTATTTAAATTAAAATTTTTTAAATTTCAGCTAATTTCACATCCTTACCTGTGTGCATGTACCCTTTAAGATAAGAAAGTAAAAACGCTTCAGCTTCCCTACTTCAAATGTATTTTTCTCATTTACTCTTAAAATATATGTAATAATCCCATTACTTGGTTTTATCAATTTTTCCTATACCTAAAATGTTCATCAAAGTACGCTTTTAGCCGTTGGGCGAGTTAGTTAACCCTTTCGCATTTCAATTTCATAAAGAATGAGATATTATTCGTGTTACTTTGACAGCAAAAGGTATGCAAATGCTAGAAATGCAAATAAAAATGAGTAAAAATCAATGGAAAAAGCAACACAGACTCATATAAAGTGGGAAAAATCTTCTTATGCCACGTAACGTATACGCCGTGTTGTACCCATATAAACCCATGTATGTACGCGTTTACTAATGTGTGTGAGTGTGTATGTATAATAAAAAAGTTTAAACAACGCTAAAATATTTGTTGTACTTTTTCTCTCTGTCTCTCATTTCGTTCGGCACTCTCTCTCCCTCTCTTACACACGCATATACATACACTTATTTACGCGAAATTTGTGGTATCGGCGGAAAATCGCCCACTTTCTACCCCTTTTTTAATGTTGGCGTTGGATTTTTTTTTCATTTGTTTTTGTTGTTGTCTCTTACATACGTACTTGTGGAGAATATAGCAAGGTGGCGAGGATGAGCTGCGTTGCGAGTGTTGCAATGAAGTAGGAGCAGAGTAAATGAAAAATAGGATTCTCCATCGCGCACATCAGCGCTAACGCGCATATCTACACTCATACGTACATGCGTACGTATATATATACGTATAGCTAGAAATATTCCAAGAGTTCATACATATATGTATATAAATATGTGAATAAGTCTATGCAATAATGTATGATGTGAATGTTTTGAACATTTTCTGTCTCTTTTTCGTCGTACGTGCCATTACATACGAGTATGGCACATACATACATAAATGCATAAGTAAGTATGTGGTTGGAAAAATGCTTAGCAGCAGTGAAAACTCACGATTTTCCACGACTTTTCCTCAAACTCAACTCACAGCATTCGTCAACGTCGCTGCTGCTGTCTGCGCTTCAATGCGAGCTTGCTGTGGCGCGTCACGAGATTTACTGAAATGTATTTGACTGCTATGAAATATGCATATAGATATGTACTTGTATGTATACGAGTATGTTAATCTCTGCTTATGAGGACCTACATACATCAGTTTTTATTTGGCTTTGTGTACTATGTATATATTTATATATATATATATACACATTTATGCATATAGAAAGATCTTGGAGCTAAGTATATAAAAACTCATTAGTACATATAATATACACATATGTATTTATATTTATTTATATACCTACATAAATACATGATAGCATATAGCATTTTATCCAGTTGGCAACTCGTTGCTGGTTTTTGTCGCTTTAACTGAAACTTTTACTGCCGATACTTATATCACACTCACACGTACATGTGTATGTTTACTCTTATGTAAGCATGTATTTAGATAAATAAATACACATAGAGGTGGAAATGAAATGAGTAGAGTGGGGCGAATAGACACGCCATGTGAGAGTGCCACTGCCAGATAAGAATATCCTTCATTTTATTTTATTTTATTTTATTTCGCTTTGTTCTGAGTCGCAGGGATTGGTGCTACACCACTCAGTGGGTGTACCCAAATGGATTATTCTATAGTATGACTTATACATATGTATGTCCTTAGGCGCAGAGAAGCATAAATGAAGCAGTTATATGCTTTAAAAATGTACCTACTTTACCACCTCACGTGTGAGGTATATAATGTGGCGGTCGTATTGTGTTCAACCAGTCGTGTGAGTATTCCACCATTTTATTATATTTGAGAGGTAGCATAGTTGGAAGTAGAAATTCCTAAGAAGCGAGCTGAAATATCATGCAGAGTATCTTGAATGAAGTCAGTCAAATCGATGCAGATTTCCAGTCTCAGAGTTGGTAGTCTTCCTTTACTCAAAAAAGTGTTTTGGATATTGAAGTTTTTTTTTCACCACTTCGGGAGCAATTTGCGGATTATTACGATCTTTTTTTAGGTTAAATGCATTCATATTTGATGCTCCTTTATTATATATATATATATATGAGAAGGGAAAAATTTAAATAGGAAGCAACTCATTCGAGTTCGGTCTCATCTCATGGCAGGGTTTGCTCCTAACATTTACAATTTATTCATAGCAGTATTCCAATGGAATCTAGCACAGTGTAGGTGATTGAAAGTAGATCCTTGCCACACCGCCAAGCTGGGAGTCCGAACTTGAAGATGTATTCGTTCTATGAGCTCTATTTAGTACTACTGAAAAATATCCCTAAAAAGAAGATCGACACTCCAACCTTTTCGTTGGCTTAAAAGCAGTCTTCGACAGCACGAAAAGGTACTGCCTCTACGTCGCTTTTTCAGAATTTGGTATTCGGGTAAAACTTATAGGGCTATGTAAAGTGATGTTAAGTAACACTAACAGTTCCATTAGGATCGGAAAAGACCTGTCCAAGCCAGTCAATACCAAACGAGATTTCAGATGGAACGATTTCTTATCGTTTTACTTTTTTAACATATTGCTGGAAAAAGTTACAAGATCGGCATAGCTGAATAGAGAAGGTACAATTTTCTATATGAGTGTACAGCTGCGGGCCTAAACCGATGGTATTTACGTTATTGGTCTCAACAAACCAGAAGTGAGTTCTGTTTTCCCTAGGCTGGACAAGGAAGCAAAGCATATAAATCTGATAGTGATGAAAAACAGTCATCGCATCCGCGACTTGGCTCCAATGTCATTGTTGACAGTCATAACCTTGAAATCGTAGATAATTTCCTCTATCTAGGAACCAGCATCAATACCAACAATAATGTCTGCCTTGAAATCCAACGCAGGATCTCTCTTGCCAACAGGTGCCACTTTGGACTGAGTAGCCATTTGAAAAGTGAATTCTTCTCACGACGGACGAAAAACAAACTCTACAAGTCTCTCAACATTCCCGTCTTGCTGTGTGGTGCGCAAGATGACAACATCTGATAAGTCGGCGTTAGAGGTTTTGCGTAAAATTTGTGGTCCTTTGAAAGTTGTGAACGGCGAATACTGCAGAAGATAAACGATGAGCTCTACGCGATATTCCTCTACATTGACATACGTAGTACTACAATTAAGTAATGACACAAGTTCCGTAAAAACCGTATACCTCAAATTATTCTACAACACTGCCATCCCCTTTAAAGTAGTCCCTTTGGGCAGCTATACAACGATTCCTGCGTGCTTTCTTTAGAACGCTTCGGCTAGGATGTCCGCAAGTACCCTCGTCACGGCCTTCTGAATGTCCTCAATCGAATCAAAATGGCCACTTATTTTGTTCTAGGGGCAAAAAAAGTCACCGGGTGACATATCGGACGAACAAGGCGGTTATTGCAAAACGGCGATCCCTCTGGAGAGCAAATACTGGGGCGCACTGAGGGCGGTGTGGCACGGCGCGTTGTCGTGATGAAGTATCCAGTTACGAGCGATGTCTGAACGCACCCTGTTGACTCGATTTCGTATTTGGCGGTAGTGAATTCTTTGTAATACAGCGAATCAGAAAACAGCGACTACCAGGTGGTCCGGAAGTATAAAAATACTCCAGCTTTGAAAGTTTTCGATGCAGTAACCGCCGGTGGAAGCAGAAGAAGAGAAAGGGTTCCACTCCGTTGGAAAGAGCAAGTAGTGAAGTAAAAGGCTCTACTTACATAGTATTTCCAGTTGAAGCCAAACATCAAAAAAAGAAATGGAAACGGAAAGTTATTAACTCGACTAAAACTGCGGTAGCGTTGTCCACGCCAAGAAATTAAGTAAGTATTATATTTTAATTATCACTTGTTTAGGCGCTGAATATCTTTTACCCTACGCGAAGTACGAACAATGAAAGAGGTGTAATAAGGGACCTAAGAAACTTTAAGCAACTGTATTAAGTGATGATTTTTAAGCAAGAAATCTGGGCTCAGTCTTGAAAACAAAGAACTTCTTTATAATGCGTCTGTAAAACCTATATCGACTTATGGAATCCAGTTATGGGGTACAGATTGCGTGACAAATCCAGATATAATACAAAGATTTCTTTCGAAATCATTGAGAATAATAATAAGCGCATCAGTCAAGTCAAACGCGCCTGAAGAAAAGGGACTTACTATCCTTGTGAAGAGCAGTATTGAGCCAGCAGCACATTCCTAGCTAGTGGGCTTTTACATTTTAATTTAGTTTTTAAGATCTGACAATTTATTATG